GTCGGCCATGTTGGCTGCGTGTAAGGCAAATGCCCTACCGCTGTGCTATCGCTCCAGCCCCACCAACATTTTACTGATTGTAAATCATAAATGCATTTAAACACAAGATTTCACGGCACTCATGTTCAGTGATCTCACATGAGACTGTGATCCACCTCGTAAGTTTATAAGAAGTAAAAGGAAGAACTCCTCTTATATTTCAGTCCTGTTTGCAAAATTATTCTAATACTAGAAAAAAAAACTAGAAGATTCACTAGTTTAATATGTTGACAATAGGGCTGCAACTTTGTATTTATCAAACCATATTCAGATGTGAACCACCAGTGATACATAGGTAGATTAATACATAATTCATTTATACCACACTCTGGTATGAGCTACCAGTGGTACACACATGAATTAATACATAATCCACGTACTAAAGGAGTTATTATTACTTGGGATAAATAAATTAGGATTATTTGGAATACTTGGGAATTGTATCATACTTGATAAAATCAGTTACATAAAATACAGAGGAGTTTTGTTCATTCATCTGGAAGATTCATCTGACCTTCTTGTTACATTTTATAATGTTAAATGAACTTACTGGGGGCTGGAGCCACAGTACAGCAGGTAGGGCATTTGCCTTGCATGCAGCCAACCAGGGTTCAATCCCTGGCATCCCATACAGTACCCTGAGCACTGCCAGAAGTAATTCCTGAGTACAGAGTCAGGAGTAACCCCTGAGCATCACGGGGTGTTAAAGTCAAAACAAAACAAAACAAAACCTTTCTGGACTGAAGAGAGTAAGAGAGTATTGCTGGTAAAGTTCTTGCCTTCGACACACAGGATTAAAGTTCAATACCCAACACTGCATAGGTTACCCTGACCATTATTAGGAATGATCTCTGGGCACAGAGCGTAAAGTAAGCCCTGAGCAAGGCGAGTTGTGTCCCCAAGAGAAGCAAAAGATAGTAAAAAGTAACCTTTCAAAAGTCACTTCAAAAACCAATAATGTAGTTATACCATGGAGAGAACAAATAATTTAGAGGAATAATGTGATCTGGTATCAAATGTCTTGGGACAGCTGCATGAAGATACAAGAAGAGGCTGCAGATTAAACAGCCCAGACAGCATGTTCAAGGTGAGCTCTGAAAGCTGACAGAATTCTGAAATGACAATTAGTAGCAAGGTAGTGATTAAAGATGCCTATAAAAGTGACATACCATTTGCTTAACATAACAAAGATTGTAAAATCATGCGCTATGTCTTTGTCAATATACTTTGCATCAGGTATCATATTAAATATGCAGAGTTTCATAGTTCCTGGAGATCTCTGATGCTTATACATCCAAGAGGAGCAAAGAAACAAGTGGATCATCTCACTGAAACAATTAGAGTTGACTCTGCTTGTCTGAAACTCAGGCTTCTTGTACAAAGTGAAAATAGTGAAATCAATGAAACAAGAGTGATAAAAGAAAAAAAAAACCTAACAAGATACCTGCTGTGAGCCCGAGGCCATTTCCTCTTGCTTAAAAGACAAATTAGCACCCAACAGACTTTCTCTAGGAAGTAAGAGGAAGGACAGAAACTTCTCACTGTCAGGGTGCCTGCCCCCTCTTTCAACATTTAAAAGCATTAAGAGAAGAGAAGCCACAGCATTATTTCCCAGTTTTAGGCCTTTTGATGTTGAAGCCTTAAGATTCATTGGGAGGATCCCATTTACCAGTCTCATTTGTACTGGAAAGCCTGCATGAGAACTCCTATAGGCTCTCCCTGTCTTTCCTCCCTTCCTCTGCTCTTATCCCGCCTGCCTCTGTGCAACCTGACATGACAGCCCATGGCTGGCCACAGAGGAGAATCAGCTGAGTGTGCACCGGCCATTGCAGAGTCTGTCAGCTACCTGGCTGCTGGCTGCCTACTCCCAGACAGCTTTATGGCTGACACTCAGGAAGAATCAATAGGAGGGCAAGGGGCTGACATTTCATTTTCTAAAAAGTGATCCATTGAGGACCAATCACCAAGCGGTGTTTATCAGCCTTGGGAAGTGACTGGTTTTTTTTTTTTTAATGGGGGAGAGGGGACAGGAATCATCGCTGGGTAACTCGACAGGCTCAATTCTCCAAGGTGGGGGACTCATAATTGGAAAGCCGATGCATCCTGCTATCAATCCTGCCTTAAATAATAAAGCGATCAATAAAAGCAGAGAGGAAATTAGGTCATCGAGCTGGCGATGCGATTTTCTACGGCTTCAGCTTTTAATAAACTCGCCCTTCCTGCATTCCGTGTTCACAGGCTTCCCTTTTATTCAAAGCAGAAGATCGGAAAGAGACTTATAATGAGGCAGCTTATTTCTAATTACTCTGGTGCAAATGCTGTACTTAGCATAAGTTAAAATAAAATCAAAAAAGCAAAGAAATGACTCTTAAGGAGAACCAGACTACAAGTAGAGTGGGCTTCTTCTGATCCCTATCCGAAGGATGAGATACAGGACGAGCCACGCCTTCTGTAAAAGTAT